TGAAATACTGGAAACAACTTGACTAAATAATTATTTGTATCTTTTTCTTTTTTTTTTTAAATACGTAACTTTCTAAATATTTTCTAAACATGTTAAAGTATTGGGTCAAAACAAATGTTTGTAGCACTACTTATATCATGTCTATGTATTTTAAATTTAGTAATTTATAACATTATTCGATAATTTTAGCTTCAAAAACTGTCCTAATTTATATCTATTTTTTTCTAATTTACCTTGTTTTTACCTTAATATTTATATCTTCGTGAATTATGTTGAAAGGCTTAGTACATGTATAATCGAAATGTTAATATTAATATGTATTGATTTATTATTATTAAATTAAATTATTATTACATGACATTAAACATATTTATTTGTTAACTTCTTCATCCTTTTCAATTAATTCGTTTTATTAACTATTATTTACGATTATAAATGACAATAAAATACAATATAATATGATCAATAAACCTCTTTAAAACTGTCTTAAATAATTCAGTAATTATTAAGGTTACTGAATCCAGTTTCACCAATGTAAGATTAATTTTAATCTCGGTTTAATTAATTTATTTCTTTTTTCTAAATTAAAATATTAGAGAAAGATAAACAATAAGTTAATCTTATATTGAAGGATTTAAGAGTATCAATATCGTGAAATACTTCACGCTGATATCAAAGTCATGCATTTCCCTCTGGTGCTGCCGATCATCGGATTAGTGACGATTAAAACCATTTTTGAAACATACAACCTGAGTTAACATTGACAGAATTATTCATCGTAAATTTAAATTGCTCGTTATTTTGCGATATTGTCTAAAGACGAAAATCGAAATGCCTCGGTGAGCGCAACTTATCCTGAAAGTCGCTGACGCGGTCTCTCATTCGCGATAGAGTCGAGCTGTCGGGCGTCTTCCTATGTCGGGAACGAAGGTGTATTCCCATTCGAGCTGCTTAGGACGAGTCCATGCTCCGGCTTGCGTCTATCTGTTGAGATTTCCTGAGCTACGTGATCGGGATGCGGATGGCACTGTTCGTGAGGAACGCCGGGACATATTCTGACGTGAGTTCGCGCGCGTTCTAGCGATCTGGGACGGGCGTTTCGCAAAATTGTATGGGGCGACAAGATCGTTTCGATACTGTACAACCAATCGAAGTGATTCCCTTTACGTCAGTAGTGGGAAACAGTGTTATTTTCGGAAGAAAGTCAACACTTTTTAGCAAATCAGAAAGAATCGTAGTAATCGTGTAGGATGAATAGAACACACTTGCGTTGTGTTAGAAAGATAGAAAAAGAAAATAATAAAGAGAGATTTAAGTTATAAATAATTGATATAACTAGTAAGTATTACGCTTTTCAATAACATTATTATTTTAAACAACTTAAATAAATAACGTTATTATTAGATCGATATGTGAAAATATACGACATACGACGAAGAAAAATACCTTATTTGATCTAAACTAGAGACTCTATAATAGAATCTGGTCACGAGATGACAAACTTTTGATTGGCCCGTCATTTTTGTCAATTCACAAGGGAACGTTCTTAAATGTAAATCTTATAACAACGTCAAATTTTAGATTTGTTACTTGGTAAATCTGAAAGTAAAAATCACCATTTATAAGTCCACCTTTAAGATATAAGCAAAAAAATCAGTATATCCGAATTTTTACTATTTATTGATTATATTATTTTGTCAACTCGTACTTTTTAGCAAAATATATTGTAGTTTTTCTAGTTGTACTAATACTTTGAAATTTGTAATTTACATCGATGAAAGTGATGGAAATATGGCGGACATATTTAAAGATTAGACATTATTTAAAGATTGAGATAGTATACATAAAAGAAACATTACATCCTATTTCATTCTTACTTTAATTTCAATCAAATTGTTCGTAACCAGACTTTGTTATAATTTACAAAAATTATAAAGAATTTATAAGTAAAAATATCACTAATTACTGTTTTATATACTTATTATTAAAAAATATATTTTAATAGAGCGTAAATTTAGATTATAAAAAAACGATATAAAATGCATAGGATTTTATTCTCTTAATTTAATTTATTCGAATCTAAAGCAAATATTTGAAAAGATATATTCTACACAATTTTAGACATTTCCTTTATGTTTAAATGGAATAATTTTTTGAATGTAGCGCAATTTTCTTTTCAAAAATTTCCTCCCTAATTTGTAAAAGCGTTTCTCTTAACTTTGCTACTGTTGAAGTAGTTATATATAATTTAATTATAGCTGCCACGGATTCTAGTTTGCCGTTAGGTCAGAAGTGGCTTGTAATTAATTCGGGCATCCTCGCAACCAAAAGCTGCTAGGTATGTTTGTGAGCAACTTGCTACCTGTTACCGCCAGTTTGAGCTCAAAAAGAAAATTACGTTATTTTTTTTATGATATGAGTATTGTATCAGTTGTTCTCTACAATACGCAGTAATAACATATATATAAGTTTAAATTAGTCCATCTATAAATTAGGCCATCGTTGATTTAGCTTATTATACCAAATTTTATATATTATATTAATTTTTATATTTTACTTTATATTTATTATTAATTTATTTTTTGGCTAAAAAATTGCGAATTGAAACTGTTTTTAACATATTTTTGAAATATAGGTTATAATTATCTTTAACTTACCTTACCTTTTTGTTCATTTTGAATGTTTTATTCTTATATTATTGCTTTGCAAAAACGAACTTTGAATATTCAAATTATAGTCACTGTAGAGAAATTTAAATAAAGCATTCAAGATCAATATGCAATAAAATAGATTGTATTAAAATACAGCATTCAAGTTAATAAAATTAAAATAAATTTTAACGATATTTCAATTATATAAAAGCTGGATAAAAATTTATTTGCATACAAGTGCGAAATTTTATCTTTTATTATGATTTTATTAATTCCATTATCTGTATGGTACTTTTCGCGGTATTATAATCATTCTTTGCAACGAAGACCAAACGATTGCAGCCGCAAACGAAAGGCGCAAAAAAAAAAACCAATATTGTGCCGTTGGCAGCAAATTTGCTAAATATTTATCGCGACTGTGCACGATGTGCGCATGACTACCCACGTATTTCGATCAAAAATTCATGAAGTACGGCACAGTATATTTGCCTTTACAATTCGAATGCGGAAACAGTAGTACGTATTTAGCGTTTTTGATTGAAAGGGAAGTTCAAGTAGCGGTTTTAGTAAGTAGATCTTTTACAAGAGAAAAAAACCTGAACCTAATTTAGTACGTAAGATAATTTTAAGAAAATATTATTCTTCTCTAACATAGAAACTGAGAAATATCCTGCAGGTATTGCATTGAAAATTATCGGCCACGATTATTCTCGCGATCTCTCTCTTTTGGACAGTTGTAACGAAGGGTTGTTCCGATAAACCAACAAAAGGGTAGACTGGTGGTGGATTCCTAGGTAAGGTAGAGGCGTAGAGCGACACGAGTAGGGCAGGGTTACGGATACGGGGTTACGGCATTACTATCCTGATAATGGAGTGGCGGTCAATGGGGCGATAGATCGCGCCGTGGAGACGGCGCGCCATAGCGCGCGGAGCCGAGCAAGCTCCCGGGGGAACTCCGCTTCACCCTCTTCGTCTCGCCTGCCAGTTTCAGGCCACGTATAGCGAACGTCGTCGTTTCACCTCGCTGTCTTTCTCACGACTGTATTCCGATCCCCCTTCTGTATTTCCGCCCTCGCTCTTCTCCCTCCCGCCCTCTCACTCTCTCTCTCTCACACTCTCTTTCTCACCCGTCGATTTCTATCGGCCCTAGTAGACGTTTCCGCACCGAATGCGCGTTCTTGACGTAACGTAGGGTCGCTACCGTTTTCGCAAAAGCTGTCGCTGGGAAAAGTGCAGTACGCCTGAACGAAAGTGTTTTCCAAAGTCGATGATACTCGTCACGTTTTTCCGTGGATAGGTACAAACGGGCGCCTGTCGAGGAAACTCAAGACACTGACGGAAGAGCTCTGCAAATATCATCGTCTCACAATCGTATAGGTTATCGCGCGCCTTTATTATTTACTTCGTGATAAGATTTGTATCGTTTGAGAATTGAGATATATATATATATATATAAATATATAAACAAGTATATATTGTATATATAAGATTATGTGATAAAATTATTGATATTTATAATTCAAAAAATTATTATAGTCACATTTTGGTATTAAGATTTTGGTTTCAAAATGATATCATAAATTATGATACAAAAATTACTGATATTTATTATATTAAAACATTATAGCTTCGACATTTTGGTATTAGAACTTTCGTTTCGAAATGATATCGAAAATTTCCCTTTAAGCGTTGTTACAGCCTTTACGAGACACTATTCTCTCTCTCTCTTTCTCTCTGTATGTATATAATAATGATATATGTAGAAAGGCAATATGACGTATCCAAACTGCCCGTATTTGTTTAATCCGCGATAACAAATCCATAGGATGATATGGGATGCGTACGTTATATCGTCACAATTCGACTATTGTATCAGCCTCCTCTCGTGCCGCAACTATTCGGTGCTACAACGTCAAATATTGATAGATAATATTACGAGCGTTTGTGATTTCCACTACGATTAGAAATTCATGTAATATTGTGTACGTATCGATTTAATTTTACATAAAAAAAAAAGCGAAATTAGATATCGTTCTATATAATGCGATACGTAATAAATAATATGCACGTAATCGATGCTTGTTTATTCGTCCTCTCATAAATAAATTAACGGATGTAATTCGCGTAACTCATCAGGATGAGTCACGTAAATGTGACTCATCCTTATTCAAAATATACGTGACAAGCGAATTGGTCGGGTTAGGCGAGTATACTCGCTTGTTACAGTATAAAATGTTTGATTGACACGAGGGGACATTTATGTGAAATAAATATGCATTTGTCATCCTTTGCATCATACTAGAGCAGAGGACAATTGCGAGATTGAACGATATATAGGCTTGGGAAACTTTCAAGTGTTGGTCCAGTTCTGCTTTGGCCACCAATGTGAAACATCAATCCTCGTCCTGAAATAACATTATCTCAAAGTTGCTGATTAAACTCGACGGTTAGTAAGATTTGTGAGACGACAGAGCAACACAGTGTTATTTAATTAAACGTGGAATCGGTAAGTCAATATTATTTTATTGATTGTTAATTCGATCATAAAATTAGCACAATTTTCTTTTTGGAAATTATGAGATGTTTTGAGATACAATTGAAAGGCTTTCCCACAAAAACTAAAAAAGTTCATTTTAAAAGAATCTAGGTTATGACATAAAATTATTTTCTGTCAATTGTGAACAATTTTGTTTTGGCAAGAATTAGATAGGAAATAGGAAACATGAGAGTATAACATTTGCAAAGAATATTTTTGTTTAAAGCAATTTATACAGTTTTGATAACAAAAAATAAAAAATTTATTTACACTTGAAATAATATTTCTTTTTTTATCTTTATCATTAAAAAAAAGCAAAAATGTAAGATGTTATGAGATAAATAGATAGTAAATATAAAATTTCCGAAGAACTAAATGAGATTTTTTGATTCTTTTTTTGGGAAAAGAATCCTTTCCTGGGGAAAGGATCCTCAAAAATTAATTAAAGCCCTAGAGCTTTATTCTTATATCTATTGTAGTTCGAGAAAAATTATCATATCTGTATAATGAAGTTTGAAGATGAAAATATCTGAAAATTTAACTTTTTAGACTTGTTAGGTTTGTATGAAAATCTTTCAATTGTAATAAATCTCGCGTAACAGGCTATTAGAAAACAGAATTGACATTTTTATGATTTACGTATCAATTTAATATACTGCTTCATATGAAAAAAATATTTTTTCAGAATTATACCCAATATGAAATTGGGCTTATATTTCATCAGTCTATTACTATTGTTAGTAATGGTAGGAGCGTTTACAGTACCGTTCAATATGAAATGGCATATGCAAACGAAAAAAATCAATAATAATCGTAAATTACAACCGCGCAAAGCAAGACTAGCCTTACTGCATCGGCCTTTATCCTCTTAAACATTTGCAAGCTACGATAATCCTCCTCGCACGTGATGTGAATATTTCAACGCGTAAAGTAATCAACGTTAACAAGAAACTTTATATTGCATGTATTATGTGTGATTATTATACGCTACGTAATTCTAATGTTTTACGACATCTTAGTAAGTTTTAAATAAATATGTTAAAATAAATTCACAATTTTTTTGTACATTTAGTTCATTTAAAATAAACACATGATTTTTTATTCTGCTATATGTACAAGCTCAGCATTTTACATGTAAAGCATTTTAAAAGCAAGAGAAATGCGTTAAATATTATTA